TCATCCTCATGAAGTCTGTTTCTGAGATGGGGCCTATATCAGTAACTGGTAATTTTGGGGCTCTTTAGCACAACTCTAGCGGAAATGCACAGCTGAAGGAGTGTGAGAAAAAACATGTTTTAGTGTGGGAAATGGGCCTGCAAAAAAACTAAATCTGGAAGAGGATTTAAAAGCCAGTGACAACATTAAAAGCATAGTATTTTAGTTAATTGACTACATTTTACTTAGAAAATGCTCTTTAAATTCTATTTACTTAAAAATGATAGGCAGTGAACCACAGCAGATAAAAAGATTATTCAAAATTGCAAATGTTTGCAATCTCCTTTTGGCAAGTTCAAGCTAATAATCTTAGCTTTTAATACAATCCTATGATACATTTTTCTTACTCTGAAAGTAAAACCACAAGTTTTAAAATATCATTACTGGACAACTGAAAATTAGCATTTTAAATGCATTTTTTCTCTTCTCATCATGGAAATTGACCCCTTCCTGAGGTTCAGGGTATGTGTGCACACATTCAAAAGAAACTAGCTTCTGCTTAATCATGAAATGTAAGGAAACAATAATCCTGTGTATTTCCAATATCCGTGGAAATTTTTCACAACTCTGGCTAAGCCAAAGAGGTTTTCTATGAAGGACAAAGATCTGCTAATCAGCAGTAATGGAAATGAAAGAAAAAAATTTGGTGGATCACACTGGCTGTGGATTTTAAGTGCTGCCCAGTGGTCCTTAGAGAAAGAAAGAAGACTTCAGAAAGAACACTTGTACCAAAATAGTAGTAACATTTTGCACCATCTGTAATTAATAAAACAAGCAACAAATAAGTGTAGCTAGGTAACTAGCACTGAAGCTTCTAACAAAAACAGACAAGAGTTTCATCTTTTATCAGTATATTTTTAATGACTGACACCATCTACAAAGAAGCTGTATTACGAAGAAAATAATCTAGTGCCAAACAATCAGAGTCTCACATTTTCTCTGAGCTGCAGATACATTCTATGCATCACATAAGTCTACATACCCATCCACAATCATACAAAAAACCCTTCCCCAAGCCCACCTCCTCACTCCACTTCTTGGCAATGTTTTAGCATCAGAGACAGCGGCAGAGGAGTGAGATATTTCTACAGCAGCATCCAATGCCCTGCTCATTGCTTCTTGCTTTTCATACTTCTTTCACGGGAGGAAGGCTTTCTGGTTTGTGCTGGTATGACAAGAACGCTTGTATCAAATATGATAGCATGTTCACGATACTGTTCAAGTCAGAGTGAATAAGCTAAACTATTTCTGACACTATTGCCTTGTTTTTCTTCAGTCATGTCTGTTTATTTAGTTCTTTGAGTTATCAAGGTTTCTAATTAAATCAAAGAATTAAGAGGAATTATATAAAACTATATGTAGATATACTCCTTTAAATTCTCTATCAGCTCATACTCCCATGCCCAATAAAGGAGCAGGCTGTATTGTTATTCACCGGTGTTGCAAAAGTGCTCTGGAAGTGCTTCTGCTGTGTTTCTGAAATCAGATCAAACTGTCAGTATATATTTTTAACATCACTTTGTAAAATAAGAATAAAAGGAACACAGCTCTTTACAAAACTGAGCCATGACAATAGGACTCCTTTTGCACCATTGATCTGATACAACAAAATGCATTTTAAAAGTTCACCATATTTCAAATTTTGAACTAGTCTAAGAACATACGAAAAGATGTTCTCCATGTTACCTCAAATGTATGTTCTGCATCCAGTCTTTGCTGCTTCAGCAAGTTCTCAGCAGAAGTACATTGAATAGCTAAAGGACATCCTGTCTTGCTGTACATCATTACTGAAATAATATTGAGTAGAATCTCCAGGCTATTAAATTTACTTTTTCACTGAAAACTATTATTTATCTGAATGAAGGTAACTCTGTAATGAATACGGTCTGCATTTCTCTGATCGGATGTTTTCGATTGCACTAGTTTGAAGTGCTGCCTTGAACTTGGCAGAAAAAGTATCCTATTTTTCACAGTACCTATTCTATCATTCATGCAAAGGTAGGTAAATAGTTAACGTTCATGTCTGGGTTTCAATACACTGCTTTATTATAGCACCTGCCACTGAAGATCTCAAAGTAATTTGTGAACATTAATCAGCTGAGCCTCATGACTATTCAGCCAGTATGTTATTACACAGACTGGTAAAGAGAGATGTGAAAACACATCAGACTTCTCAGTAGGGCTGTAAGAGATGAGCAGTAGCTTTGTCTTCCTCTGTCCCCTAGAATAGGACTTTTCTGCCTGTTTTTTCATCTAGAGGGGCACAGAAAGCAGCACTAGTAAGGGAAGCAGACTGGTCCCAGTACTCCTGCCAGCAAAAGATACTGAGCAAAAAAGCATGTGTTTTAGTCCAACCACTACCAGTCAGAATCCCTATTCCCTTCCCTTCTGCCTTTTCCTGCCACTGCTGTTGCACAGTGTCCTGGACCTTGCCAGCAAGCTGGAACCAGCTGACTCCTGGAAGTGGCTGTTGAAAGGCTATTGAAAGATCTGGTTCCTCGGGGCTACAAAATCCTAATGTGGCGTGGCTGAAGCCAGAGAGGAGTTACAGGCCACCCTGTTATTCTCTGCAGGCTGGGCATGCCCCACATGTTGCCAGCTAAAAAACTGAAGTAGACCAGTTTACTCCCTCACTGATCTTTTCTTATCCAACCTCTCCACATTTTGCAGTGAACATACTTTCTTACATGCCAAAGGCTGAAACATCATTACATCTGGACCTAATGATCCAATCAAACTAGCTTTAATCAATTTCGTTCAAGCACCAAGAGTGGGAAGATGCAGGCTTCACTGTAGGCTATGTGATCCCACCAGGACGCCCAGGCAAGCAGCTACTTCTGCTGCCCTCTGCGCTACCACAACTCGACTATGGTGGTACCGAGTCAGATGCCCTGGCTGCACACAGCTGTAATCACACCTCCCAACAGCTGTGTCTGCATCTTCACAACAGGAGAGAGCCCCTACCTTGAGGAATTCACGGTTTAAACAGACAAGGCAGAGAAACAAAATCAGAAATCACAAACAAAACTGAGAGTGGTTACGTGGAGTCCAGCGAGAATGGTGTGAAGGATGTATGTCCAAAATCAAAGGCTGCTAACTGCTTTTATTAGCAATGAAAGCTCTGCCTTGGAGACAGCAGAGGCAGAAAAGCTGAGGCTAAGCTCATAAATTGAGTGTTTGTTCCTCTTCCCTTCAGTGACTCCATGACATGTTATCATGTCATTCTTGTAAATGTTTCAAAGAAAAGTTTTTGAACGATAGTGCTTTGCTATAGTCCCTGCAGTTGGGAAGGGCTATACAAACATCTGCCATCCACTCCTCAAATAAAATTCAACCAGAGCTTTTGTTTACATGGTTTGTCCTTAAAACCAGCACTGAGCTGTAACTTTCAGCCATAGCTGCCTTATTAAAAATGAACCTTTTATTTTAAACGCAGTACATTTTGTAACAGGAAAATCAATATACAGTAACCCAGAGTACTGCAGACAACAGCTGTAGGACATAATCTGATGACAGAAAGTTGAGAACAGTATTTTGGCAGTTATATGTTCAGCTAATCTTTCACTTTTTGTTTTTAATGGCACCAAGCTATAAAGATCTGAGATTTCTCCTCACCTGGTGACCCAAAGCTACACAAAATGAAGAAACCAAGAAACCACTGTTTTCAACATTGAAGGCTATTATCTAAAAAATAAATCAGTTGTTACTTATTTTTTCCTTTATAGGATACTGTAGGTCTTTTCCCAGAGCTACAATGAGTTAACAACAGTCTCAGTGATCTCACAGCCCTTAGCAAAGATATAGGAACATACTTAAGCATAAAGAGTACTTTGAAAAGACTACTAAATGCTTTTCACTGCCTTCACTTTGGCTGTGGGTAAGGGTGCTCAGCTCCGTTCAGGGCTGGGATTCACAATGCACCTATGCTTAGAAAAGTTATCTAGCCAGAAAAGAGAAGCCATAGATACTCCCGGTACACAGGAGTCTAGAACAAACATAAAGATCTTAATAGAGATTTTGATTTTGATCATCTGTTACTTTTTCATTATTAACAGAAAGCTTACAATTAGAAACAAACTACTCCCTGTATGTTTTTATGTGACCATTAAATACTGAATCTATGAATAAACTAGGGATTTTTGGAACCTACCTATTTGTTCTTAGAAGGTGGGAGATGATTAGTTCTCTAAAATGGCATGTGATTCACTTTGATAACAAAGTAAACTCAAATACATGTCCTTGGTGAGCAAAAGGCAAAGGGCGCTAGATCGTTTTGTACTGAAATTGCTTTTTTCACCACATCCCACCGAGTATATTTTTCTCAGATAATAAAACTGTTTTTTTAAAGGTTTCCAATCCAGATTTGTGTGGCAAATGCTTTAATTAAGATTGATATATTCCATTTGTTAGCTTTCAGACTTTGACATGGAAGTTTTAACTTGAACTGCATTGCCCTCTAGCGCTGTGACGGGGCTGGCCGCGGTGATGTCACTAGCACAGGCAGTGTGAGCACAGGCAGCCAGTTCATGCAGAGCTGCCTAAATGCTGACAAACCCTTCCTGGAGACGCATGTCACAGCAGCTAGACAGGGACATCCTTCCAACAGAACCACAAATGCACAAGGGAAAACAGTAAACCTGTCTTTTATTTCAGGGACATCATGATCAAAACAGCTACTTTCGAGCTCCAGCCAAGACTTCTGCCTGCTAATTTCTGTTTAAACCTGTTCGTATGAGAAATTAAGCAAGTTTGAACAGCCTATTATTTCTGACAGGCTTCAGAGGACTTCACGCTGTGCAAGTTTTACGTGCTCATAGCTGACAGCTTGCTGGGGAGATGAGTTCTCAATCTAAAACTGGCCGGTGCTTTGCAGCAACTTCTTGGGTAGAGAGATAACTTTCAGCTGAACTCAAATCATCTGCGTGTCATGCAAGGGATCCAATCATAACTTGCTATGGAGGATGATTTTTAAGATGAATACCTACCTTGGAGATAAATCCAATTCATCAATACCTGGATATTTGAAAGTGTCTGCACTAAATAATGGCAATCTTTCTGCAAACAACTCCAATGAGACAGCAAGCAATCTGGATTCACCTGCTTTGGATATCAGTAGGGCGATAATTGTGGGGCTTATCCTAGGTGCCTTTATACTCTTTGCTATTATAGGTAATATCTTGGTAATTCTCTCTGTTGCTTGCAATAGACATTTAAGAATCCCTACAAACTATTTCATAATTAACCTCGCAATAGCAGATTTGTTGCTGAGTTTCACTGTCCTTCCATTCTCTGCTACACTGGAAATCCTTGGCTACTGGGTTTTGGGGAGGATATTTTGTGATATCTGGGCAGCGGTTGATGTGCTATGCTGTACAGCTTCTATTTTAAGTCTATGTGCAATTTCTATAGATAGATATATAGGGGTACGTTATTCTCTCCAGTATCCAACTTTGGTAACAAGAAGAAGGGCAATTTTAGCTCTCCTAGGTGTCTGGGTCCTTTCCATGGTGATTTCTATTGGGCCTCTTTTGGGCTGGAAAGAACCAGCACCCAAGGATGATAAAGAGTGCCGTATCACTGAAGAACCATTCTATGCTTTGTTTTCTTCCTTGGGGTCATTTTACATTCCTTTAATTGTCATCCTCGTGATGTACTGTCGGGTCTACGTAGTGGCAAAAAGGACTACTAAAAACCTGGAAGCTGGGGTTATGAAAGAAATGTCCAACTCCAAGGAGCTGACTTTACGGATTCATTACAGGAACATTCATGAGGACACATTAAACAGCACCAAATCCAAGGGTCACAATCCCAGGAACTCCTTAGCTTTCAAACTTTTTAAATTCTCTAGAGAAAAGAAGGCAGCCAAGACGTTGGGAATTGTGGTTGGCATGTTTATCTTGTGCTGGCTACCTTTCTTCATTGTTCTGCCACTAGGTAAGTTGGTAATGACGGGATCGCGAGGGGAGGGGGAGGAAGAGGGTTAGTTGTTTACTACAAAAATGTCATAGAAAAAATCAGATGAATGGTAAGTAGCTATCATTTTGAGAACTGCTGTGAACAGATGGAAGGAAGGGAAATGAAAGTAACTTACTTCTGATGTGGCTTTTTCAGAGTCATGCTGAAACTTCGTAAAGGGTGCAGCCTGCAGAAAGTCTGCTTATCTGATAGTCCTTCTCAGTGATGGGGCAGATGTCAAATCAGGGGACAATATCTTCAGAGTTTATACATTAAATCCCCCTTTATGGTCTTTGTTTGAATTGAATTAGGTTTCAGAAACATTCTTATAGGATGCTTTAACAAAAATCCTAGATAAGAACACAAAAAGAGTTTCAGCACTAAAATGTTCTTGGTTTAGTTTACTGTTAGATGTTCAGACTATAATACAGTAGGTCTTCTGGCATTATTAGGTGACTTAAATGGAAATGAACCTGATCTAATGATGAGGTGCAAAACTCCCCTGAGCTTCGGGAAGCTGAAAAAGTTCTAGTTCTCAGTTAAAATGTGACTGATCAAATCCCAAAAGCAAACACACAAAGCCCACTGATCCCCACAGAAAGGTTCTCATTGGTTTCAATAGGTCTTAGTTCAGGCATTTCAGAAGATTGCCATGGGAGCTTTGGGCAGCCACTTTGTTCACTTTCAACTTTAAAATATTATTAAAGCATTTGATGTAGCCTTAACACATTGTTCTGTTCCCAAGTCCTTCTGAAATTTTCTTGTATTGTCTTTAATACTAGCACTTCCTCTGAAGTGGAATATCTCAAGACATTGAATTACTAAGCTCTCAAAAATATCTGTCCAAAATTCATTTCTCTGAGAGACAGACAATCTGGCAGCCTAAATATGGAAAGAGGTGGAAAAAGAAAAGGGAGGAAAAGCCTTTATTAGTGTTCTGTGTTCGTGTTTACTTAGTTACCCTACCAAAACATTTCTAATTGAGTGGTAAGCGAGTATTTTTAGAGACTGTTGTAGAAAACTAAACTGAGTTCAGCAACCTGGTCCTGGTGAAGTGTTATAAAATTATAACTTCAGTGAATGTGTAGTATCATTTAGACTAGAATCTTTACTGCAAGACTACTATTTAAGCTATTGCAGGGCAACTCTATAATCTCTAGTTTATTGTATCATAAACTTAAAAATCTTAATGATTCAAGATCTGCATAAAGCTAATGTTAAGGATGTGAAAAATTCCAAACAGAAGGAAAATTGTGAGCAAAGTTCTCTTTGGGTACTGAAGTTTAAGTCCTTGTGCTGGCTCTTAAAGAAAGTTTATAACAGAGAGCAAGTTTCCAACTATTGCAAAAATACATACCAGTGGATAGAAATATATTTTCACCATATGGTACCAGTAGTAGTACTACATATGTAGCTAGTAGGTCATGATCCTCTGATAAAGTAGATTCCCTCCTTGATTTTGAATTATTGAAGGAACTTTGGAGAAAAAAACCAAATGTGCATGCAGTAGAGCATATCCTTAGCTAGCAGAAGCCAGTATAGCTACTGATACTGTTCAACAAACACAGATGCAGACCAGTCCATTAAAAACATTATGGTCACAGGGCAGAAGAAATGTGAGAAATAATTATATTTCTAGTTATTTCAAAGCTCCTGTTCTTCCCTGGGAGGTTTAATGAGTCGTTGCTTAAGACACCTGAGTGGAGAATTTATTGCTTGTCACAACACAATTTTATCTCTCATATGAATTGTGTCCAAGGCATCAGTGAGGTGACAGGCTGAAAGCCTCCACCACAGCACACTGTGTACTGGCAGAGGTGCTGGGTGGGCTGAAGGGCTAACCTACTGCTGTGGGCTCTGACTCAACATAGACTGAGTGTCTGTAACCCCCAACACGCTCACTTCAGTGCTGTGAGTGCTTGGTGCCCCACAGAGATGAGGTTCAGAAAGAGTTGCCATTGTGTCAGTTAGAAGAGTGAAAAAATCAGCGTCTTGGCATTGCAATATAGACTGCTGGCTCTCCTGTCCTCTGTCTAGAAATCCTTTCAGGGGCCCAACTCTTAACTGACAGCCTTTAGTCTAAGAAAGGGGGGAAAAAGGTATACATAGTTTCCAATCTAGTATCCAAATGCATTTAAATAGTAGGTACTTTCCCTTTGTTTTGCTGACTAGGAATAGGGCTGGTTTTGTTCCTTGTCCCTGATCTCTTTTTTTAATTTATTCAGCAGATTGCAGAACCTTGTACTTTTCATCTCTGTGTATCAGTGCAAAGTTAATTAATGATGTTAGGCATGACTAAAGCATTGCTCACTAAAACAGGTGGGGAAAAGACCTTTTCCTGACACGCATAATGCAGCCATTCTTAACTGGAGGAGAGGGTAGAGCAGTGGAGAAAGACTTCTTAAGGAACTTGCTGTGTGCTACATTCTTCATACCAGAAATCTTTTGCTTTGTGTCCTGAAGTCACGAAATTAAATGAAATGCTATTATGAACCCTTACAAAAAGCACACAATGGTTTGAAATCAATTTCAGTGATAGGCAAACCATAGAATCCAAAAGGTACTGATGATTTACAAAACTCTCCATAGGTGCCCTGGGGTGCTTTAATCACAACCCACTTGCTCATCAGTGCAGGACTGCAAACTGCAATACGTTTTCTGCTACTGAGTCCAGACAAGATACTTACCTTCACTATACTGGAAGGATAGGCTTCTTCCTTAGCCTGTATTTTTCACACCTTATATTTGCGCTATTAACCAAAATCATACCCTCACATCCGCATCTTTACTATTTTTTTTGCTCCCTGTTTCACTCAGTAATGCCATGACTCTGCAGAATGGCGTTAGCAGAGCAGCTCTGGATTTCTGAGGATCCAACCACAAAACATTTGACAATCGGTAAACGTTATTTCTGCAACACCTCAAAACCATGTCTTAACGAATCTGCTTACACGGCGAGGAGTTTCCTTCATGTTAAAAGTGTTCTCAGCTCTTCTACTAGTTTTCCAGGCAAAATTAAAATTCTTCCACTCTGGCATTTCAATATATTCCGCAGCTACCCATTTTGATATCCCAAAGGATTATTGCATCAGGTGGCCGATATATATTGGGAACTGATGCGGTGCTGAAAGCAGGGATATTGCTTGAATAAATATTCCATGACAAAGGAAAAGAAATAATATTAACATTTACAGAGTGTTTTTCAAGCAAGAATCAAAAGGCTTTGCAAGGAAAGCTCTCTGACAGAGCTCTGTATACAGGTACAGAGAGGAATTACAGCACTGACACTATGATGTACTGAGCATCATGAAATGATCAGCATGAAGAATGAGCCACAATCTCTTTTTGTAGGACTGAACCATGCTGCCTTTAGTGTTAAGCACCTGATGATGCAGCAAAACTGGTATCAAAGCGAATCATGTGAGAATTTGTTTTTATTTGAGTAGCTACCAGATATTCTTTCCAGATAGCAATAGAGCTACAGAATATCCTTGTTGCACACATTCATAAATGCTCCATGGTTTTGTAAACAGTTGTCTTGCCACTCAAAATTATTTGTGGTAAAGCATAAAAAATAAAATGAAGACATATGTGTCTTTGAGACAACTTCTTGTGCCATAAATTCAGTGACTCAGCTTTGAAGAATAAGTATCTTGCTTCTTTAAAATAAATGTTTCTTTTCTTTCCCCTCATACAAATCCTTTCTTAGGCATCAGGACTATATTAAATACGCATTGCTGAAAAATGCTGAGTAAAATAGACGATTTCTACCTAAAGACTAGAGCCCTGCAGAAATAAGGTAACACTCATTAAAACTCCCTCCTTTAAACAAAGGAATATCCAATTTTATGCTAATACCTTTATTAAAAAAATGAATCCAAAATGAAGGACCATATGTTTCCCCCTGGCTACTAGGTAAAAGTTTAGTCTCATTCCTGTTAATTGAGATATCAGAGTGGGCTTGCCAGTCTTCTCCCAGACACACACACGCACCCCCCCTGCAAAGGGAAAACTCACCACCTCCAGTACTTTAACCAAAGCATATTAACTTCCCCAGCCTACTGCTTAACTCCAGTGGAGATCAGCAGAGCATTATTCACTTCCTAGTTCAGAGCCTAACTCCCTCTGCTCCCACAAAACCTATGATCTTATCCACTGAAGTCAGAAACAAAATTCTTCTAACTTAACTGGCAGTGGGCTAAGATCCCAAGAGCCTCATAATGAAGTACAACTGTTTTGATTATCCTTACGTATGAAGCTTTTGAAACGTCTCTATACAATAATAAAAAAGAACATAAAAATATTCTGCATGCTACAGGTCAGCCAATACAAAATTATTCTTAAAATAAAATGTTATTCAAGTACAGTATGTAGATTTATGTTACATCAGGCCAACTTCTGCACCTCTGAACCAAGAATACCAAATTAGGCCACTTAGTTTCCCATGGGAAACACTTCAAGGCATTAGGTCCAGTGCTGTCAATGCAACCGGGTTCTGCTTTCTGCAAGGCTTTAGGCCTGGTTTGGTTTTCATCTCGTTTTGGTCTTGCCCCCTCTTCCCCTCTCTAACTAGCCTAGCTCTCTAGATTTGATGCCTTCAAGTTAATAGTTATACAGAATTTGGACAAATTAATGATATATGTGGCAATCTGACTCTCTGCCCACTTGCAAGTCAATCTCTGGTACAATGTTCAATTGCACAGATGATAGCAGGAACCTGCTCCTCCTACTTTCTAGCCAATTCCTGTAAAACTAAACATCATAAGGTCATTTCTTGATCAGTACAGCATGTTTTGTCACACGTGGAGGACTAGATTATTTCAAGATGATTCATTTTACTACTAAAATAGCCTCCCTTAAGCCTTAGTTTAAGCTATTTGGTTTGCAAAGGATGCCAATTACCAGTTACTTACAGACTTCTGTTTTTTAGAACAAAGTTGTTTGTTATCAAAGCAGATGAAACTGCACAAATTCTGGGG